ATACAAAGAGAGTATGTAATAAGATATCTCTCATTTCCAACACTCAATACTTATAGATGGTGGTTGCTACCCTAGAAGACAATTTCTACTCATTAACTTGTACATACACAGTCTTAGGATCCTTTGGCATCTTACTAACTATAAAGATATTCTATGTCAAATACTAATTACTCTTATCTAGTCTTCGGATATTCTCTAGTTCATACTTTATTCTCTTGATTTTGACTTTTGGTCCTTAACCTCATTCTATATCTATAAGATGCCCTTTTTAACCACCAAGAATCAATTCTTTGATTATTAGCAACTTATCTAAGATAATATCTTCTATAAGATAATTTATTCTACTTTCACTTTTATTTACTTACTTTAATAATTATTTCTTATAATTACTTAAGTAAATACCAAAAAAACCTACTTGATAACAATCCAATTTTAAATCAAATTTTAAATAAAAATTTCAATTTATGAAAACCAAAAAATATTATAAATGGCAAGTTTAATATGAAAAAAAACTTTTGCTCTTTTGTTATAACTTTTGGTTGTTGATTTTCATCTTCTTTAGATGATAGATTATAGTGTGCATGGAATGCTAAAGTAAACTTGATATCAACCTTTAATATGTTCAAGAGTGTTTTCTAAAAAATTGATATAAACTAAGGCCTACAATTAGATTTAATGTCATTTAAAAGTTGATGGTATCAATAGATATTATCTAAGAAGAATTTAATGTTTCTATACTCGTAATAATTTTTGTAAATGGTACAAAATGTACCATTTTGATAAAACAATTCACTATCACAAAAATAAAGTCATAGAATTTGATATTGAAAGATCTTTAATGAAGTTTATTAAAATATGTAAACAATGTTGCTTTAAAATAGGTAAAGATAGAAGAAGTTAATTGGATCAATGTTAAAAAAGTCATTGGTTACAAATAATTGTGATATAAATAAACAAAAATGTTGAATTTTGCCCAAATTTGGAGCCATCAACAATCACTTTGAAAAATCTTCAAAGACTTGTTTTATCCAAAGTGTTTTGTTGTAAGAAATTCATGTTGTGCTTATATTATATGTAATTATATTTAACTTGTGGCAATGTGTAAATTTTTTTAATAATAAAAGATATTGTCTTTGAATTCAAATTCAAAAGATACATCATAAAAGATTATTCTTAACATCAAAAACAAAAGGATTTGTTAACATTGTCATTAAATGTAAAAAATAGCTTGAGAATATACCAAGCATTTAGTTATAGCAGAATTAAATCTCACCTCAAAGTTGGAATTACAATCCAAAAAAATAATGCCCAATGTGTTTTAAAGCACCTTTTTGACAAGCTTGAATAATCCAAAAAATCTTCCTATATTCTATTTACATTCAAATAAACCTAACCCAAACCTTAAAAATTCTTAATAATTTTTTTAAAAAATCACAAGAAACTTGAAAGAAATCTTATACAAATCCTAATTGAAATCCAATAAACCTCCCAAAAAAAATCCTAAAAAAATCCCAAGAACACCTTAATTTAATCCTAATCAAAATTTGAACAAATCTTAAATAAATCCCATAGCAAATTTTAAATCTTAATAATTTTTTATTTAATTATTAATCTTGATTCAAAATTCTTACACTTTTCATTTCACTAGTTGAAAATAAGCACACTCAATTTAAAACATATTAAACTTATCAATTGGAAGAAAATACTCTTAATCCACTCAAGTGTTGACCATCTTCTTTCTTCAACTTCAATGTTGACTTTCTAGTACTAATAGCTCGCTTATAAATCTTTTACTTGTTTTCAAAATTAAAACATAAAATATACAAAATAAAGCTATTTCAAATCAACCTGCAAATTACTCAAAATAATGTAAATCTTCACTAACCTTCAAAATCAAATTTATGAAATCCTAACTCACCTAAATCTAAATTAATTTTGATTCAACTATCCAATTAAATTAAATTTGGCAACATACATCTAATATAACTATGTCTACAAATCCACATAATTTCATCTATAAATATGCTATAGAACTCATACAATTCACCAAAATGTAACCTCTATTTTATTCTACAAAAAAAGAATCATCCAAAACAATCTTGATTTTGCAAGGCTCTCACATAGTCATTATATACTCAAATCCCTTCCAACTAGTGCTTATAGAAATACTATCAATTTTTTTCTAAAGTAAATTGCAATTATATTTTATAACAAACTCTACTATAGTACAATCCTTCTCTTTTTGTTTCATTCAATAGCCATATTATGAAACAACATACTTGAATAAATTTCATCAAAAAAAGTAATATCAAATAGAATTGTTGATTTGATGGCTTCAAAGTATAATTGTTTTGTTTTCAGAGAATAACTTATTCTTATTCATATGCTATATTTTTTTCTTTTGGTACAAGATAGGTACATTTAAACAACACCTTAAAAAAGCATTCAAACCTTGATATTTTTCAAGACAATATATAACATCATATACAAAAGATTGACATTGAAGACATGGAATGCTTCAAATTCTTTTGTTCAAATTCTTGTGATTGAAGAACCAAATCCACTAGAGGCATCGCATGACGTACGGATTGCAACCACAATTGTCGATTCTCCTCCCACAAACTATATAATGTATGTTAGTAGAGGTCCAAGTCATGCTCCTCGGGGAACCAATGCAATGAACGCCTCCTCAGCTCAATCACCAGGTCCACCAACAAAACTCCTACACATATCAAGGTTTTACAAGCCACTCATCGCTTTGTCAAACCATCTTCTTCCACAACGTGCAATAGCGCTGCAAATAATTGCCATCAAAAGCCACCCGTAACCCAAGCTTACAATCACCATTACTTTCGATCACCTTTCCTGCCTGCCATTCCCCACCCATCTGGACTCAGCTGTCCACCCTGACGACATCCCTCGCCGATGTGGCAAGCACCAACCACCCACCCTGAACCGTTCCAAATCAACACCCACACCAAAGCACATGCTCGAGTTCGGATTGTTATCCATCATCTTCTCCACCCGCTCCACTGCCCAAGTGCTTCCACCAGCACTTGACCATCCTCAAAGAGCCCAAAACACCGCCACCAGCAACCCTACTCGATGTTCGATGACATGCTTCCACTACTTTCACCGCGTTGTTCGCTTCGTTTCCTACAACATCCGACTCAAAACCGAACAACCATATCCACAGCACACGTCCACTCCATTGCAGCCCAAACTCTCCACACAAAACCCACAATGATGCCCACGTCATCACAACACATGCTCCCACACCCACACTCCGCTCCTTACCATCCCCCCTCTACCCAAACCCATCGCATCCATACACCGTCAACCCCAAATCTCAAGTCCCTCCAAGCCTGGCCAACTTTCTCAGCGCTTCGCTGGAGTCTCAATTCTTAACAGTCAATATTCTTACATTGCAGCGGCACTCAAGGGCTGCTTTGCACTTTCATCTAACGCCAGCTCGCCACACCTCCACTACTGGAACCATCGACCAAAATGTACATGCTGCTGCTACCACGTGCAACTTGCTACCGTTCACTCCACCACTTTACGATTCTCGATGGTTCCCATCCTAACAGCACCCCCGCATCTCGCCACCTCGGCGCCGGGTTCCTTGACAATGCCTTTGCACTTGGCGTCTGCGCCTCCGCGTACCGCAAACGCTCCGCATACACCTGTTGTCGAGCTCGCTCAACCTCCACCCGCTCCTTCTCCAACAGCATCCCCAACTCTTCAAAATGCTCCAGCTTACTGTACAGCTTCTTCATCTGCAACCGCACAATCCACTTCCCATCAACGTCCATCCCCCAAACCCGACCGCACTACGCTGCGCTCTGCCCATCCCAACCCACGATTCGGTGCCCAGTCCCTAACACCGCGTCTCCTCTCCGCCTCATCTCTGCAATTCACCATGCTAACTTCTCGCCAACCCATCACCCCTCAACGTCAACACCCAACACATCAAAAACTGTCCCTCCCCCCCCCCCCCCCCCTAAAAATGAATTGTCTGATTAAATGTGCTGCCTTTATCACGAACCGTATTCTTGTTAATGACGATCATCTTGT